GGCTTGATTCTTTTGCAGGGAACAGCTCGCAGAAAGAAGAAGGTGGTGCACAGAACAGCTACGGCTGATGACAAAAAACTTCAGAGTTCCCTCAAAAAACTGGCAGTAAATAACATTGCTGGCATTGAAGAGGTACAGTGATAAAATAAGTGTTTCCTGTTTTACATTCAACTTACTGTGCTATTTTGGTGGTGGTGTTTTTTATTTTAACACAGTTTTCCCCTCGAAAACTTACAGGCCTGGTTACTGATAGGTGAAGTTATTTGATTGTTGTCTAATTTACATTACTGCATACATACATACCTAGAGAAAGAAGGGAGAAGGCTCTTCTGGCCAGATAATGATTGTAGAATCTAGTAAGCTGTCATGTATGTCTTGCATTCATTGCAAAACAAAAATTCTCTTGATTCTTGACTTATGAACTTGATCACCTACATTAAAGGGGAGAGCAGAAAATGCACATGTACTGTGCAGGCAGATCTGAAACAAGGGTTGTGTGGTGCAGAATATAAAGAAAACTGTAAAAATACCTTGAGTAAGAACTTGTAAGTCTGTATTACCAAAATTTAGGTCCTTTTACTGCATGAACATTACCAGAATTGTTTGCAATAGTCACAGGACCAGCAAAGACTTTACAGGACCAGCTTTTATGTTACTGTAAGTAGGAATATAAAGGTTTCAGATAGAGGTCTCACTGTAGAGAGTGACACTAATACGTGGGAGGAGGAGGTGTTCCTTCATCATCAACTTAATATTGCTGTAGTACTTGGTTAAAAAATATTTAATCAATTATTAATTCCTTTAAGCAGGATTGCAGAGTGCCTCCAGAGGTCACTTAGTGCATACCTACCTCTCATCCAAAGGCAAATACAGATTCAGTGTAGAAGTCTGGTTTGCCTGTAAGTTTTCATACCTCTGCTGCAGAAACAATTCAGTGTCTTGTCTTAAGCTTGATATTTGTATGCTGAGCTATATAACCCAAAGAAAGATACAGTTCTTGTTCTCTTTTGGTTTGGGTTTTTTTTTGCTTCCCCACAGAACATAAGATTTTTATTAAGACACAGTTGTTGAGGCCTTTAAATGTCTTTATGTGAAGGAAGATAATGCAGTATACTTCTGCCTTGATTGCAGTATGTTGCTGTGTACAGGTGGGCACAGGTTGACCTTGGTAAAATTTGTGTGGACAGGAGAATTTGGGGAGGCTAGTAATGTTGAGTCAAACATTAATAACTCACCTGTGTGGCTCTTAAAAGAGGCTTTTAAGTAAGAAGATGACAGTGCTTGAAGCTATTACCATTTCCACATATGTAAGCGATGTGGCATCCTTTAATTTTGTAGGAAAGCAACACATCTGGTCTTGCTGTTCAAAATACGTTTTGAGCTCTGCTGCTGTTTGAAGATTGATAACTTACATGTTTGTATATTTTAGATCTCTTTAATTCCCAGATTTCTGTTTTCTCCCTCTAACTTCTACTAAAAACAATGTTTGAGTTTTGTGATGTGAGTTTATTAGTACTGTTTGGTTTGATGGGTAGAACTCTCTTCCTTTTTTCAGACAATTTTTCACTTAACTGGAGTTTAGCCATGCCAAGAAGAAAAACCTTTTAATCTTTGCATTCTCTCTCTCTTTAAGTTAAAAAACAAACTCATACAAATATGCTAATATACATTTCAGCAGTAGGAGCAAAGCAGGCTGCTATACTGGCTGTAAAACTTAATTACGGGTGATTCAGAAGACTAGGGAAGAGAAAGAGCAGGATCACTGTGTGATGTACTTGGTGTTAAGAGTCATCGTGGAATTATTAGGAAGGCATAGAAGCCTGTTCTGGTGCAGTTGGTACATGAACTTCCAGTTCTGCGTGTGAACGTGCAGGAGACATCCTTGCCTCGGGCGGCTTCAGCAAGTAGGCCAGATTGTGAATCTTGTGCCTTTGCCAATTTTGCTGCCGAAACAATAACATTTTCCTGATAAGGGACACAGCTGAGAATGGTGATGTCTTTAACTGCTGTGGTGGGGCTGTTCTGTTAGAGCTTTTAGTTTCTAAAGAGCACAGAGCTCAAGGTTTTGTTTTGGTTTTTGTTCTTCCCTGGATGTTCCAGATATTAACTTGTTTATTACTTACTAATAACCCATGTATGTTTTTTGCCTTTATTAAAAATACATTAACTGTATGGTAAGATAATCCTTGAATGTTTATCAATTTGTATTTGAATAAGTGTATTTTATGATGAAACCATAGCTCTTAAATTCTGTCTTTTCGAATAGTATGTGTGAACCCATATTTTATCATTAACTTGTATTTTACTTCCAGTTTAGGTGGTGTTAATTCCAGATGCTTTTGTCATGGTTATATTCTTGTCTAGGAGAAGTACTAGTTCTGTAAATTTTCTTACATATTAATATTTTAAATCTAGATTTGAAATAATAATTTGTCATGCTTATTCTTAAAGATGCTGCAACATTTTGGTACGTGTTTTTAATATATTTAAACAGGTGAACATGATAAAAGATGATGGAACAGTTATTCACTTCAACAACCCCAAGGTTCAAGCATCCCTCTCTGCTAACACTTTTGCAATTACTGGTCATGCAGAAGCTAAACCGATCACGGAAATGCTTCCAGGCATCTTAAGCCAGCTTGGTGCTGACAGCTTAACAAGTCTCAGGAAGTTAGCTGAACAGTTTCCAAGACAAGGTAAGTCTTTTCAGGATCTTTCATTGCTGATTTAAAGCACGCATGAAGTATGAAACGCTTTAACCCACATTTAACAGCAGTATGTGTGACTTAAAAAGCAATCAAAAGCATATGTGCTTTTATTTATTTGCCACTTGGGGAAATATGGTGGGGGGGAATATGGGAGTGTGGGATGTGTGTGTGTATGAGAGGTGTAGCTGTTACTGTAATATTACAGCCTAGAAGTGGAGTCTGGGGACAGTCATTTTGGAATAATACCCTCTGTGGGGAAGCACTGTAGCATGTTTTGTGGAGGTCATGCTCTTTACTGTTGATACCTAGACATTTGTGTATTTGTCACTGTTGGAGGTTGGGGAAATGTTTTCTTTTTTCATCTGTATGTTTTTTATTCTGTTTTGTGGTTGTCTCTAATTCTGTATAATGAGAACTCAGCACCAAATTTATTTTTACAGTGTTAGATAGTAAAGCACCAAAATCTGAAGATATTGATGAAGAAGATGATGATGTCCCAGGTAGGCACATACACTCTTACATGTCCAATTAATGTATAAATATTTCAATTCATGCATTTAAATATTTTGCTCTTGATGTGATTATATTTCTCAGTTGCTGAGGAGGCTTCATGTACTGAGCAGCATTTAAAGCATTGATGACTTTAGGTTCCACCCTTTGGAAAAAGGCTTCCTATGTGCCAATAGCTTAAGTGAAAATAGGTTAAAATATTTTCAGGGAGCTTGAACAGGTGATGCAAATACCAAAACAGGGTGTCAGGGCTGCAAAACAATATGATTGGCATAGTCATCATATCATCAAATCAGAGCCTGGGATGGGGATTCTGTACTTCTGTAGTAGAAGAAACAAAGCTTATGTCAGTGTCTGAAAGTTTCTCAATAAATAAATATTGTAAATTCTTAATTTGTCAATGAACAGTTATCTAGCAATCGCCACATTTTTATATATCCATCAGTATGTTGTATTAGCTGAAACAACAAACTGGTGGATGCAGAGGTTCAACTCCTCGTGGTTTGGCACTGGTTTATTTCTTTGCGACCTTGCATAAAATTTTAATTCTCTAAAATACTTTGTTTCCTGAAGTGCAACAGTTAATGAGTGCCTAACTTCAGGCATTCTTTAAGGAGTGCTGATGGTTCAGGACTCGACTGGAACTAGTAAAACAGCTCTGAAAATGTGATTTTAATCACTTCATGTTAGAACTTCCACTCTTCTGAGTGTTCCTGCATTTCTAGTTTGTTGTGTATGTTCAGACAAACCCGTGTTTTCTAAAGCCCTATGAAATCTGCTCATAAAGGATGTATGTAGGAAATAGTTCTTAACTATACTTATAATGTATACTTTTTCATTAAACTTCCGAAGGTAATGTTGCTGGGTATTACGCTATTAAATATCTTCATCTCTTTCAGATCTCGTAGAAAACTTTGATGAAGCATCAAAGAATGAAGCTAACTAAATCATTAATAGTTCTGGAAGCTGGCATGGACTAGATTTAAGAAATCAGCTATGTGGTTCCAAAGTTTTAAAGAAACAGAGAACATCACCTGTTAATAGTTCCGTAATATAAATATTTTGTATTTTTATGATGCTGTTTGTTCAGCATTTTCTGTCAGTTGATTTTGCATTTTGCACTTACTCCCAGGATCTTCTCTTTTGGTCAAAAAGAAATGTCAGTGCAGTTTGAGGGGTGTGTGCATGTGGGTGGGTGTATGTGTGTGGGTGTACATATAGTGGAGAACAAATTGGAGAATGCTTATTTAACCTTTTCCCCTTTTCCTTTGGAAGTAGAAATAAAATGAATCTTAAGCATTGTTACTTCTGATTATCACCAAATTGTGCACAGAAGGTAGTTAAGATGAAAATTTTGTCCCCATTTTGTGACCTGGAGGCATTATACCATTAAAACTTGTGTTTAATTTGTTGTTAACTATTGTACTTGCAGATGTTTCTCATCTCTGAATTGTACACATGATATTTCTTATCAAACTTAGGTCCATCCCAGATGATACCGAAGACGAGCTGTTTTACCAGCTTGTTTGGTACAGTAACTTTTTAAAGAAGAAAACTTGGTCTCAGTACTGTGCGCTTTTTTTAACCTTTCTCAACTTTTTCTTTCTTGTCTCTCTAACCTTTGAGACAAGCTGATGTTTGACTCCTTCCACATAGACTTAGCAGTATGTTCTCCTGTTGAACGTGTAGAGTATTTCCCATGTCAAAAGGAAAATGAACACCTTGCTTCCCTACCATCAGGTCACCTCCTAAACTTGGAGGTCTAATTGGTAACAGTTCAGTGCACCAGTTTTGCACGGTAATGAATTTTTTGCTTGAATAACTAACTTTTAAGCTGTTCTCTTGGCATGACTGCATTTACTAGCAGCTGATGATCCACTGTCATGGCACTAGGAATTCATGGTGTGAGCCATGGTTAAGGTGGGAGGAAAGAGTTGACATTTCGCCTTGCCTCTTGCTGGGCAGTTTGTGCAGTAACTAGCTCTAAAGGGATATATTTTTTTTGCCTGTAACTTACCTTTGCCTATAACCTACCTCTAGGTTTGGTGTCATCTATGTAGTAGCTTAAAAACCATAAACGCTCCTCGGGCATAAGGAGGACATTGGGAGGTACTGTTGGTACAGTGCAGTATTTATGACCTTACTTTAAAATGCTTAATGTGAACCCATTTTCTCAGAGGCTCTTTCAAAGTTCTTGATGTAATGTGCATTATGGTATAGTTAGACATCATTGTAACCTGTGTCAAGGGCAGCTGTGGCTTAAGAAAGCCGTTTTTTCCTTTGCATCTGTCACTTAACTATGGCTTAATTGGAACATATCAGCTTTTTATTTAGGCTCATATGCTAGAGAACTGTAAAAGTTCAAGGTCAACAGTACATGAGTTCTGGCATCATAAAGCCACAAAAGCAGAGCTGTAGTGGTTCATTGTCTGAACTCAATTTATTTGGTAAGCTTTGTTCAGTTTTTCCTGTTATATTTTATATTCTACATGGATCTTACTACAAAATAAAATAACAGTACAAAAGAGGAAATGCTCCCTCTTGTGTGTTGTCTCCTGCTCCCAGTGGTTCTAGCTGAGGATTGAGCGTTGGATGCAGCAGCTGTTTCAGACAGCACTACATCCTTGCTGGCAGTGACTGAGGATGACACATGCAGGGCTGAAGAGGATCCCCTTAGAGCTTTAGAATTCACACTCCCATATACCCACTCTTCTGTTTTCCTTGCAGTGTTGAATGAAACTGTGGTTTGTTGTATGGCTAACTTTAATCAGCTGCAGGTGCATTTGTTCTGTTTGTAAGGAAGAGATGTCTTTGTTAGTGTGTGAATTGCCTTTTGTTGCTCTGCAAGCTCAAAGGGCAAATGGAGGATAGTAGGAAACAGGTATTTGCAGTATTCTTCCATTTGCTTAAGGGCCACAAGTGAAGAACTTTTGAAGTAGCAACTGTACTGAGTTTGTATGGACATCCCCTCCCCCTAACTATTAATCAGATAATGTTTTTGCTCATTGGTTTCTGGTGCTGGAAGCATGTTAAAAGTAATTTTGTGAGAGATGAAGAGTAAACATTGGAAGCGATACCGTAAGTTTATATAGTTTGAACTTTCTGATTCCTACAAAATAGTAATTTTTACTCTTGGTCATGACAAGTTACATGGTAAACCCTCACTTTTTCCTATGTTTGACAACCAGTAAACTAACTAAATATATGCTAGTTTATGTAGTTATATTATCTTCATTTTTTCACTGTATCTGAAAACAGTCAACCACTTATGATTTGCTGCTGGAAATACTAAAGCTTATCAATCATTAAACTGATTTTAATTAAAAGTAACCCATCAAGGCTGTTGTGGGAAAAGCTATTTTTCTTTATTCACGGTATAACTCGAACAGTGTATATGTTGATGGCATGCAGAGCTGCTAAGAGTAGTTTTGGGGAGTGTTGCTACAACAAAAACTAATGTGAAGGTGAACAGGTGAACATTAAAATGTTCTTTGACTTAAAGCATGATAACCACTTGAGCTTACTTGCTCACTACTGGTATATTAAAGATATTGGTGAAGATATCGACATATTAAAGATCTTGGTGGTGATTTGAAATTAGAAAGGTAGAACAGAATGTAGGTTGAAATCTCTTGGATTGTAGGTGAGAGAATCTGAGCTGAATCAATAAAGACTGAAAGAATCAAGAACTTGGCAAATGTGTAAGACTGCAGGTGCTAGTCCTGCTGTGACCAGTGGTAGATCTGTGTAGTGCCCTGGTTTCTCGATTGAAAACCCTGAGACTGACTGGCTTCTCTTGGACAGACAAGGCAAGTCTAAAAACCTGTAGTTGTGGTGCATTTGGTCTGTGGAAAAAAAATGCTCCTGTGTGATGGATGGCAGAGATTAAATACAGGCAATGGTGCTGGAGACTTGGTTCTGAGCACTGGTAAGGGATTTCTTGTGCAGCACTCAGTAACAAAATGTTTGCAGCTAAGAGTTCGTAGGGTGGAAGGAGTCGATATAAAAAACATTTAACATACAATACAGACCTTGAATAAAATAGGGTTCAGGTGAATTTTTCCTTTTTTTAACTTACACAGGAATATTTGAAGAGTGCACAAGAACGATAAGGATGAATTTAGAACTGCTACTGGTTTATGTTGATAATTCACTGGTATTTATCAACTTGCAATGGGAAATAGGAGTTGCTATGAACTCCCTTCTGCTGGGTTATTAACAAATAATGTTTTGGATTTGGTGTGTACAAAATAGGCACTGGAGATCTTAGAGATTATTTAATTACTGAGCAGTGTATAGGTGTTAACAGGATCTGAGGCAGCTGTAACAGCACAGTACATCTGTGGGTACATGTAAGAGATGAGTTCGTGCCTCTTGTGAGGAATGGCCCAGGAAGGATTCTTCTGACTTTCCCTGTTACCAGACTGCGCTGCTCCATACAGTAGCGATGTACAGAGGGTCTGAGCAAGCTGCCCTGTAGGTGAAGGTGAATGTGTGAATTCTTCTGCCGGTACTTAAGATTACTCTCCTTTTACTATTTGAAGACAATGCTGGTTTGTTCATCAAAGTGAACAGATTGTTATGGAGATCAAGATTACGCTAATCAAACAATCCGTGTTTTGTATTTGAGCAAATGAAGTGGTGCAGAATCACAGTTAGAGCCATAGCAACTTTATAGAAGTGACAGTGGAAATGCAGGGAGTGGTTGTTCACACGCAACTGTTCGCTTTCCTATCAAGTAACTTTTCTTTTATTCCCATTCCTTTCAAAGACCAGTTTGCAGACACTGAAGAACTTTCTGGATTTATTCAGAAACCTGGGGGCTGCAGTGTCAATCCAGGATTCAGATAGCCAAGCAGAGCAAGTGAAGAGACTAACTCTAAAATCGGTCATCTTGGTATGTTTGGGTAAAAGCTTGGGCTGATATTTAGAGCAGGATTACTGGGAACTGGGCTTTCATTTCAGATGCTGGCACTGTATTTGGCAAGAAGAAACAAACTTGTACATCTTCCAGTGCCTTGATTAGTCTTTATTTCAGGGGTACTGCTCTACCTCCTATAAATATGTGGCATGTAAATTATTGAATACAAAACCTGGATGCTTCTTGAGAGAAGATCTACATCTGTGCAAATGGTGTAAAGAAACCCCCCATACTACCTGTGGTACCATTATGTACTGTCAGTACCATTAAACACTCACTAAACAACAGACCCACAGTTGTTCAGGCGCTATTTTTCCTTGGCAACCTGGTATCTCAGATTCTCAGATATTAGGTGGCATTTCCTTGAACTTTGCGTTGCAGATAGATTTTGTAACTGCCAGATTGGTTGCCTCCTTGGAGTAAAAGGAGATTATCTGCTCATTTGAGTTCTTGAAGATGTTTTTGGTATTTTTAATCAAGTATCAATGCTAAGGCAAACATAAAATTATGTTCAAGGGCCTCTTGACCTTTCAGTGCACATATCCCAGCTGAATAAAAAGTTATGTGACCTCTTGCTCTTTTTTGCAACATCCTTGCAGCAGCTACAGTAACTGCTTATGTCAAAAAGTAATATTAGAAAGTATTTAATGTATTTTTAGATTGTGTCTAATGAAACTTCTCTGACAAAGAAGAGCCGGTGCTGCGTGACCAGCTTTCTGCAGACATTGGGAAATGTGGCGCAAACTACGTTTTGAGAACATCAGATCTGATTTTGAGGCCGTGTATGAAGGTGGAAATTTCCAAGCGATGCAAATTATTACCAGATGTAGGTAAGTGAAGACATAAAATCTCAGCAGTTTGTCAGTGAGATATCAGACCACTGCCCACCAGAGTGAAGTTCCCTGAAAGGCCTTCACCAGTCTCAGGCTTCCCTGCCACCACGGGAGAAAGTCGTCTTCCTTTGCTTTCCCAAGCGTCAGCAGTAGTAGCTGATGTCTGAGGTCAACTTTTTGTTTCGTGAACTTAGTTTTCAGATGGTTTTCAGCTCGCCTTACTGTTAAATCTGACCGCACAGTTGTGCATGGTAGTACTGGCACATGCTAAAAGCTTGACCCCATCTCTTCCTGCCAGCTTGCTTCGTTTGGCTTAGCCAGCCTGCGAAACTGCATCCCAAACTGGTGGCAGCTTTGAACCTGCAGGCCCCACACTTCATTCTGCGCGAGCGGATGCTTGAAGAGTAAGCTGTAGCTTTCGGGCTGTCTTGGTTGGCTTTGCCTTACCACCTGCTAGCTAGCTTTAGATTTCTATGAAATAAATAGTAACCTCCCTTTAAAAGGGAAGTGTTTGCACACAGTTTTTTGGTAGATTGGACCATCAC